TTGCAGAAATGTGTGATCCACTTGAAAATACATTGTCCATGCGACATCACACCAAAAATCATGTGATTCAAGCAACCTTGTGTGCTCTATAGTACATGCCCTCAACATAGATCACCTGCACCCGCACTATCAGATCAATTGCACGACTGACCTGACTCGACCCACTCCGTTGTTCTATGTTGAGGATCCATCCAACGACCTAGTTAACTACTCAATGACGCACTGACATGGCACAATCCACACACCTCTCACCTGCTCTCCCATGATAGCTGCACCGTCGCCTCCACCAACGTTCACCACCACGCTGTGTTCTCGTAACCGTCGGTTGACGAAGCCGCAACCTCATCTGCCACTACAAAGAAAAAAGAAGAAAAATTCAAAAATCAAAGGAAAAATCATTTTTTTTTTTGATAATTTTCAGACAAGCACGCAAAATCGCGTTAAAGTTAGGGGGCAACTGGTCCGCCATTAACAAATTTTACTATTTGGCACAAATTTATATGTGTTCAACATGATTCTCGATGCTTTTCTGGGCAAGAAATATTCAAATTCAAATTAAAAATTTGCAGAACTCCTATTTTAAGAAACTTATAGTTAAACTGATCAAATCAATGAGGCAGACCTAATGACATCAAAATTTATTCAATCCGAGTAAAATATGGCCTAAATTAAGTTGTTAAACCACATTTGAAAGCTTTGGGTGGTCAATTTGAAGGTCAAATTGATTCCAAATCTTGCGAGCTTATGTTCAAATAGAGCATCTCAATGAGATGAATCTAACGGGCCTAAGATCACTCAATTCTGACATTATTAAGACACTTAAATGTTCATAAATATTATTTTATCAAAGGAATTTCTTTAGGTCGACCGATGAAGTTGTTCGGATCCTCGCCTTATTTACAGGGGTTGTCACTCCCATAATTTATTAATAAAACCCTACTTCCTCATGAAAGGGGACAGAGAAAAACCTAGAGTCGAATCAGGAGAAGAAGGAGCCTATTTCCAGAGCTATTCTAGGCAGACGACCCAACGATCCCTTCCTCCATATATGCCGACCTCCGTCAACCACTGTTTACCAAGGCTGTTGACCACTATTTGATGCCCCCTGCTCGTCGCCATTGGTGGACCCTGCGGAGTAACAATGTACTTTGCGACGAAGTCTCGTGCGAAGTAGCAACGTACTTTGCAGAGTAACAAAGCGTTTGTGAAGTAACTGAGCGGTGAAACGCTATATGGAGCAGTGTAGTGTTTTGAATATTGTGGAACAACGTACCTCAAATACGATTTATCGAAGTTCCGTTGATAAATCCTACTAGTAATTGTTGTTGACCGTAGAGAACTTTTATAATTCTTTTCTGTTTGTGAGACGAGTTTCTATACATGTACGTAACTTCTTATAGTAGTTCATTTTGACCACGCTAGGCCTCATGTTTTTTCTTTTTTCGGATTTTTCATGTAAAAATTCATAGTGCATGATATGCTATTTCTAATCACTCTACCGCCGTGAATGTTTTGGCATGCAACAGTTCAAGATTATAGGACATTTAAAATGTTTTATTAGCATAACATATATTTATATTATTATTTTTTTATATATGTTTTAAATATTTAATTATTTTGAGAATTTGTGATCTTAAATATTTAAAAATTTTGACTATATGACAATAAAACGATGCTTGAACTGAAATTATTTTGATGAGAAGGGAATATACTATACTATTAATATTATCAAATTAAATGGCATGAATCTCATCATATTTTAAATTCAATCACTTTTGCGATAAAATTAAGAAAAAATAAACTGATCTCTATTTCTCATGTTTTGGTATGCATAAGCTTATTTAGAAGAGATGTTAGAAAATAATAAGGAAATACCAAAGCATGATAAAGAAATCATTATAGATAATGATGAATATCATCTCATATATAACTCTCCTATAAATTTGAGAGGTGGCATAGAGCATGCCTAACTTACATTTGATATGATATTATAAAATTATTAAATTTTATTATCTATTTAAGGAAATCTTAAATTCTTGGGGAGCAATTGCCCACCCTCCACAACCTGTTTTCGCACATGAAAACCCTCAACTACTGTGAACTGAGGTAGTTGTGATGGGAGATTGCAAGAAAAGATAAAGACTAACCCATAATTGAGAGAAAAAGGACAAAGGAGTTTGTTACTTAGCAGATTTAAGTTCTAGTCCACTCCATGCGAGAATTTAAAGTCTGACTTCTAAAGAAATGGAAGAAAATTTTCATAGGAAGTGTGGATACAACGTTGCGTCAGAACTTCACTAAAATCTTGCTACGCAAAACAACTCTAATAACACTACAATAATACCGCAATAACATCCATGAACAGCACCAACAACTCCGCCCGAATGACCATGCAAATAACACAACGATGTTATTCGGATGTTATTGACATATTTTCGTCATTTTTTAGGTGAGCTCAGTCAGATACACCTGATAAGATTTTATTAGAGTCTGGAGGCACAGTTACGTCGGGAATCCGTATGAAATGTTTTTTCAAAGAAATGGGGGTGAACCGATATTTAAGATAATGTAAGATTTAAAGTTTTCATTTTGGTTGTTTGACAGAGTTTAGATTAAATTCAGCTTAAACCCTTCCGAAATATTACCACCAAATATATTGACATCATAAATTTTTTTAGTAAGGAATTGAATTTACAGAGAAAGAAAACATAAAACTTCCTCATTTACTTTCTATTATACATACAATATATATTGCAGTAAACAATGACTTGCATGTTCGTATCTATTTAAGCATGCATGCATTTAAGCTCTTATCCATTATTGTGAACTGCGTTTGACATATAAATTAAAAAGATTTAATAAAAGTTTTGTGAGTGATTTTTTATAACTTCATAGTGAGGCTAATTGCAGCCATTGGATAAGATCAGAAGTAATACGATTATAAAGACACTCTCATGCAGCATATCTGGATATAATAGTGTGGCTATTTTGGCTCTAATTATAAGCTATTGAGTTTGAGATCTAACATATATTGTTGTACTTGTTTGCAAATAAATTAGCTCAAATTATTAAAAAAAATTTATGGGGTGCATGATAACAGCTTTAATAGCTTTAATAAATCATATAGATTTGAGATTTAAGACAAAGTTGAGAAGAAACAAAAAAGAAACTAGATTAGATCTTACTAATCTATTGGTTTTATCTAGGTTTAGAGATTAGAAATTCTCCAAACTCAAATTCAAAGTGTAACCAACAAATAGGGCCGTAAATGATCTGATTTTGAGCCAAGTCGAGGACTGCATAAGTTCAGCTCGAAGAGTTTGCAGGCGGCTCAAGATTGGCTCATGACTCATTATATTTGATTTCTAGTCAACTCATATCGAAATTGAATCGAACTCGATCTAACTTGAAATCAAAATATGACAGTCCAAATTGATTTTTTTTTTTTCCTTAATCTATTATGGCTCGAAAAGTAAAATGAGCTGGCTCGTTTTCTCTGATGAACACAATAAATTGTAAAAAAGTTAAAGTTTGTTTACCACTTGTACATTTTAATTTCTTTTAACATTCTATTATATATATATATATATATAACTAAAAAAAACTTCTAGTCAGTCTCGAGCTTGTTTGAGCCAATATGCATATGGCTCTAAATCGGTTCAAAATAAACTATATCCATAATTTTAGCTCATAGCTCAGCTCAACACTCCCTTCTGACCTAAAATTTGAATTAATTTTTGAGCGAGTGATTAAGCCAAATTTTTAGCCCTATCAACAAATTATTTTTTGATTGCTTGAAAATAGAAAATATATATTATGGTTCCACTCCTATTTATTTTATATACGAAAATAAAATCACTATTTCAAGAAAGTTTGAATATATGTAAAATTGAATATCAAATTTAACCTCAATAAATTTAATCAAATGATAAATCTATTTTTTAAAATATTTTTAAATATAATTAATTTAGAGAGAGAGAGAGAGAGAGAGAGAGAGAGGTGCCGAACCAGCCTCTTTTCCATGCCTATTGTTAGAAACAGTGGAGCTCGGTCCATTATGCTTAGACGATTACTTTGCTTTGGAGAGTCACACCTCTTCACAAATAACCACTCCCGCCTTCCTCTTTTGTGAAGTGAAACATCTCTTCGCTCCCTCCTGTTTGTGATAAAAGCTTCGAATGACTCTCCTTGGGTTTAGCAGTCATGTTTTGAGTTCTTCTTCGTTTTCCTTGGGATAGAGGAAGGTTTCCACGCGGCAGTGAAGAGAAGTGCAAGGAAGAGCAATTCCTTGCGACATAAAGAAGAAAGAAGAAGAAGAAGATTGTTCTCTGTAGGCTTCTTTTTGGTGGCTTGTGGTATAGTAGAAATTGAGTTTATTTCTCTTGTAAGTTTGTCTTCTTCGATATAGTTTTCTTCGATGTATCTCACGATGTATCTCGGTATAATAGAGAGAGAAGAACAGAGAGAGAAGAAGAGAGAGAACAATGAAGAGTGAGAGATTCCTTTTGTAAGTCGAGGTGATCGACTGGTATAAAATCCTCTAGTATTAAAATTCTCTGCAATTCCGTGGACGTATGCAATTTGCCGAACTACATAAATTTGTGTGTTCCGCTGTGGTGTTGTCATTTCTGGTGTGATTTTTCTCTTTCTATTTTTCACTTCATCGATCGTTCTCCTGTTTGATTTATATATATACCACATCAATCAGTATATCTAAATCTCGCAACAACAACACCTATAACATCAATTAATCTTCGTTCGTATTACTAACTCAGGCTTGTGATGGAATGTCAACCTGCTCCCTTCCCCACATCCACCAAATTCAGGCACAAGGGGCCGCACCAATCCAATTATCCTTGCTGAACACCCACCAACCTTTGTTCATTCCCAAGCTCATCACTTTTAAGCCAAATTTCACATGATTTTATATTAAAAAAATAAAATTTAATATACAAAACCATCAGTATCCCACTGGGATTTCTCATTTCGTTCCAGCTTTTTAAAAGCTTCTTAAAGGAATCTTTTAGTTTCTTTAAAAAAGCCGCACACCTCTCACTTCCACCCTATCAGAGATGGAGCCTCTCCTGCTTCCTCGAAGAAGCAGCTACTACAGGTACCCCTTTGTCTCATGGTTGCCGGATCTGTATCTCAAAAAGTGTGTATTATTGATTCTTCATTTTCTTCTCTAATGGCTATTACTCCTTCTCAGCTCCAGTTTCATGGCATCTCTTTGCTCCATTAGTTTGTCTTCTTTGAACTTTGTTGCAGGTTTTTGTTTCTTCCTTCTCAATGTATTTGTTTAAGCTATTAGTTTGTCAGTCCCTGCTTTTTAAAACCTAACTCTTAACTTTTAGCTCTCATGGGTCATACTTATTCTGCTCCTCAGTGATCATCATCCGCACCCCATTTCCGTTTTCCCTATTTTAACTCAGATGGAAAGTTCTCATCTTGCAGCACCTTGCTGCTCAACCATGAAATCTCTCTACCTCCACCTTCCATTGTGAAAAAAAAAAACCAGCAGTTTCTCTTAAAGTTGGCTCCTTTCTTCCCTCCTTGCCTCCCTCTCCCTCTCAACACTCCTTCCAATGGCTCAATCATACTTCCCTCTTCGTTGGGAGAGCACTGGTGACCAGTGGTGGTACGCTTCCCCAATCGACTGGGCAGCAGCCAACGGTCACTATGAACTTGTCCGAGAGCTTCTTCATCTTGACGCCAATCTCCTCATTAAGCTCACTTCCCTTCGCCGGATCCGACGGCTTGAGACTGTATGGGATGATGATACCCAGTTCATCGATGCCGCCAAATGCCGCTCTTTCGTCGCCCGAAATCTCCTCCATGAATGCGAAACTAAGAACAATAAGAACAGTCTGATAAGAGCAGGCTATGGTGGTTGGCTGTTATACACTGCTGCTTCTGCAGGCGACATTGGTTTTGTCCATGAGCTGCTTGAGAGAGATCCACTTCTTGTGTTTGGAGAGGGGGAGTATGGCGTGACAGACATATTCTATGCAGCCGCAAGGGGAAAAAGCACTGAGGTTTTCCGACTAATTTTTGCGAATGCGGTGTCTCCGAGGTGTTTGGTTGATGGTGAAGGAGACATTGAGGGGAGGGAGAGGAGAGGGGGTGGTAATGGCTCAGTTTTCAGGTGGGAGATCGTTAACAGAGCTGTTCTTGCTTCTGCCAGAGGTGGAAACTTGGAGGTGTTGAAGGAGCTTGTTGGTGACTGCTCTGATATCTTGGCTTACAGGGATAATCAGGGCTCAACCATTTTGCATGCTGCAGCTGGAAGAGGGCAGGTTAAGGTGAGGATTGTTTATGTTTAGGATGATTTGCTTACTTGACATTCAATTCATATGGATTTAGATATGTAACACCTAAACTTCAATTGTTACATATTTACCGCCTTATCTATGCATGAAAATGTGCATTTCACTTCTTAAAAGTTAAAAATAGTGGCATTTTTTATATGCATTGAGTGACTTGGGTGGTATAAATTTAAAAAACAGAAAAAATAAATAAAGTTTAGATGTTAGATATGTAAATGCATAGGAATTGGGTGGTATGTATGTAAATGCCCTTATTTTTATGTTGCTATGCTTGTTACTAACTTGAGAGAACTAGCAGCTTCTCTTTTTCTATTATGGTAGAATTAGCTTGACTGCTTATTAACTTTATTAAATCTAGAAACTATAAGCACGCGGTATTTATAGCTGTATAGAAAGCAAAACTATGACAAATCTGCCCCAAATGGATTCTGAAAGAAAGAATAATCGTGATGATTTTTCGTGCTCAATTTTACTCTTCTTTTTATGCTTGTTTAAAGGGTAAAAAATGGCCTTGTTTACATGTTTGTTGATTTCATGAAACGTTAACCAAGATTTATACTGTTTTTTTATTGTTTTTTATATGATGTCGCATTTGCTATTTGTTTGTCAATATTATTTTGCTTCATTTGAGCTGTTTTTTTGCATGTTGCAATGTTCTGACATTTTGCTGGCTATTCACCTGTTTGCATAATACAGGAAAGATTCAAACTTATACTCTTTTCTTAATAATAATATGAAAAAATCTTCAATTAATGAAATAACGAAGAAAAATCTTCAATTAATGGAGAGTTGCATCAACATTTATTGTCCCACCATCATCATAATTCTAATTGATGCGTGTTGGAAAATCCGCGGCGGTAGAGTAACGGATTATCGTCTTAGCGTTGTACGAGAATTCAACACACACACAGATGAAAGAGAAATAAACAGTGATGACACCAGAAGTTTTTACGTGGAAAACCCGTAATGGGAAAAAACCACAGAGTCTGACCCAATTATAAAAATTCACTATAAGTTAATGATTACGGAGATCCTTTGTCTCACAGATGGGAAAGGGTTACTAGCTTTCCAATTTACAATGTCGACTAACGACGTCTAGTCAGCTGTGGTCGATGGAGATCGGTGGTGATGGACGGTAGTCAATGACAATCGATGACGGTCGGTGATGGTCGACGGAGTTCAGCGGTGGTCGACGACGGTCGATGATTGTCAACGGTGGTCGACGAAGGACAACGGTGATCAACTGTAGTTGACAGTGGCCGACGGTGGTCTATAGAGGTCAGCGATGGTCGCCAACGGTCGATGGTGGTCGACAGCGGTTGGTGGTGGTCGACAAAGATCGATAGTGACAGAAATGATGTTGGACTTGAGCTCTTTTTCAAAGTCTCAAGTTCTCTCTCCCCCCTCCTCATGTGAGGGGTGAAGCTCTATTTATAGTGTTTTGGGTGTAATTAATGCAGGAATATGAATAATTTTGATCAGACGGTCCGGAGAGCTCTCGATCTAATGACGTTTGATGGACATTTGAGTGTCTTGACGATGTCAGAATTGAACAATCTTGGGCTCGTTGGATTTGCCTTGTCGAGAACTCGCTGAATTCGACATTCGTTTGATCTTTTAAATGTGTCTGAAAATCTTCCAAAAATGATTTAATCACTTGATCTGGGTTTGATTTGACTTGGATTGGACTAACTTTGATATCATTAGGTCCGTCTTATCGAGTCGATCAGTTTGACTATAAATTTGCTGAAATCGGAGCTCTGGATGGATTTTAATTGAAGTTTGAATGTTTCTTGCTCAAAAGGTTGCCTCGAAATTCGTGTCATGCCTCGAGATTTGTGATGAAAATTTGTTGGTGATTTATCAGTTCCCTCCTATTTTCGGATGATATCATTTTTATCATCCGAAAATATTATTTCCTAAATGCGTCCGTTCTGAAAGTTATTAGTTTAATAATTTTGAATTTGTTTTGATAATCTCACACATAAGTTATTTAGATTTTAATATAAACGTGGCTCAACTCAAATAAATGAAGGAATGCCAAAAAAGGGGAAACGGAAGCGGTATTGGCAAAGCATTGAGTGGGAAAACTTGAAACTAATTTATAATCTGAAAATAAAACTAATAACTTAAAGCATTGATTTATAATCAATTTCAAGCTTTCCCACTCAATGTTTTGCCAATACCGCTTTCGTTTCCCCTGTTTTGACATTCTAGCATTTATTTGAGCCACATTTATGTTAAAAGCTAAATGGCTTGTATGTGGGATTATCAAAGCAAATCCAAAATTATTAAACTAATAACTTTCAGAACGGATGCATTTAGGAAATAATATTTTCGAACGATAAAAATGATATCATCCGAAAATAGGGGGGCAACTGATAAATCACCAACAAATTTTCATCACAAATCTCGAGGCATGACACGAATCTCGAGGCAACCTTTTGAGCAAGAAACATTCAAACTTTAATTAAAATCCATCATTCAAATTTTGATAAAAAGACATCAAGAGCTCCAATTTCAGCAAACTTATAGTCAAATTGACCGACTCGATAAGACGACCCAATCATATCAAAGTTAGTCCAATCAAGTCAAATCAAGCCTGGATCAAGTGATTACATCATTTTTGGAAGATTTTCGGACACATTTAAAAGATCAAACGATTGTTGAATTCAGCGAGTTCATACTCGAATTGAGCATCTCAACAAGGCGAATCCAACGAGCTCAAAATTACTCAATTCTGACATTGTTAAAGCACTCAAATGTCCATCAAATTTCATTCAATCGAGAGAAGCTCTCTGGATCGTCCGATCAAAATGGTTCATATTCCTGTATTAATTGCACCCAAAACAATATAAATAGAGCCCCACCCCTCACATGAGGAGGAAGGGGGAGAGAGAACTTAAGGCTTTGGAAAAGAGCTCAAGTCCAACATCATCCCTGCCCGCCTCCCGTGGCCCCCCCCCCCCCCCCGCGGCCCCCCCCCCCCGACCGTCGGCACCCACCGCCGACATCTGTCGACCACCGCCGACCACCGTCGACTACCGCTGATCACTGTTGTCCTTCGTCGACCACCGTTGACAGTCATCGACCGCCATCAACCACCGCTGAACTCCTTCGACCATCACCGACCGTCATCGATTGTCATTGACTACCGTCCTTCACCACCGATCTCCGTCGACCACCGCTAACTAGACAACTAGACACCGTCAGTCGACGTTGTAACTTGGAAAGCTAGTAACTGTTTCCCATTTTTGGGATAAAGGATCTCTGTAATCATCAACATATAGTGGATTTTTATAATTGGGTCAGACCCTGTGGTTTTTTTCCTTTACGAGTTTTTCACGTAAAAACTTATAGTTTCATCACTGTTTATTTCTCTTTTATCTCTGTGTGTGCTGAATTCTCGTACAACGCTAAGTTGATAATCCATTACTCTACTGCTGCGGATTTTCCAGCATGAAAAGAGTAGATGCTTTGAGAGGGCCTCTTGATTTTGGTGAAGCATATTTAAGAATATTGATAGTATGTGCACATCAATGACAATTAGACATAGGATCATTTATAATCACTCGAAACACGGCCGTTTTTTTTAGCCGCCTTATTGCATCAAAAGTTGTGACGCAATTTTATATCAGGACTCCAATCAGGGTCTGCCACATTTAAAGGCAGGCCCAACCATGTATTAAATTAATTTTGTTTACTAAGGTTGGCCTGCCTGTATACGTGATAGACCCTAATTAGAGTCCTGATGCAAAATCACATCAGGACTCGTGATACAATAATTTTTTGAAGGTTAAGGGATGGGATGAGTTTCCTTTGTGGAAGTGGGAGCTGGAAAGTAACTTCAAAAAAAATTTCTTTTCAGTTCAGTAGCACTTTGTTGAAAAAAACGACACTTCACTTGCATGTAATAATTGAAGTAAATTCCCCTAAAGCTCTACTTTTATTACATTTAAACTTGTGAGATTTGGCTTACTCTCCACTTTGTGATTTGGCAGGCAGTCAAGCAAGCCCTTATAATAATTGAATTTGCAGTTTTGGCCGCTGCGCAAATATTGTTGAAGGCACTGGAAAGATGGAGAATTCGTTTTCCCCTGTCAGGAGAAAAATGTGTCACATTATCTTGAGTTGAACTTGATTTAGTTAGGCTTTATAGCCATCATATTTATAATGAGATGAGTATGATATATCATTAATCAATTAAACTTTATGTTGTACTCATCTCAAAATAATAAATAATGACTATAAAGCGATTCAAATCAAACTTAGATCACGATATCCGGACAGAAATTTTTATGCCCCGCTAGTGTTTATGATGATTCTGATGGTAAAACATATCAAATATTATAAATTCATCTAGAGATTCTAACAAAATTTTGCTTTCTGTTTTTTTGCTTTTTAATAGTTTTCCCACAATTTTCACTGAATAATTTTCTTTTCCCTTAAATGATTGTCGCAAATGAATTGTGGATTAAAATGCAAATGGTCATGAAATGATTGTCGCAAGCATAAATCTGTTTATGAGTTTAGATATTACCATACTGTTATCACATGTGCAATGTATGCTTTGATACAGACAAACATGCATAATGAAACATTAGAATTCATAAAACTGAACTCAAATAATTAGTAAAAGACTAATGATAATGGTTATTATTTATTCAGTCGCTTTTATCTAGCTGAACTTTCCCATTCCACTCTATTTCCTCCTTATTCTGCAACTTAATATATGTTTCCTCTACACTTTTAAGCTCTTGATTTCTTAATCATAACGCAAGAAGCATTTCAACAATTAGAAAAAACATTACTGCACCGCTTTGGGAAATGTCTTCACATTGCTTGTACATGTCTGTTCTATAATTTATACATGTCTTTCCTTCACCTTGCTAATTTATTATGGAAGATTCACATATATACCACTCAATTCCTACGTATATACATATCTTACACCTAAACTTCAATTCTTACATACATGCCACCTTACCTTAATTCCTACGTATATACATATCTTACACCTAAACTTGAATTCATACATACATGCCACCTTACCTATGCATGAAAATGTCTACTTCACTTTTTTAAAATTAAAATGCTTTTGTTTTTGATGTGATATGAAAGATTTGGGTGGCATGAATGTAAAAAAGTAAAGTTTAGATTTTTGATATGTAAATATATAAGAATTGGGCGGTTATATATATATATATGCATATGGTTTGATACAAAGCTTTGTATGAAACTAGTTTATAAGACATTCACACTTAAAAACAATTTTATGTACAACTTAAAGAAACAATCCCATCTTTTCATAATTCCAGGTGGTTAATGATCTCATTGCATCCTTCAACATCATTGAATCCAGAGACAATCAAGGGAACACAGCACTACATATCGCTGCATTTCGAGGACATCTACCAATTGTTGAAGCCTTAGTACATGCATCCCCCTTCTTACCATGTTTCAAGAACAATGCTGGTGATACCTTCCTTCACATGGCCATAGCAGGCTTCAGAACTCCTGGTTTCCGACGGCTGGATCGCCAGATGGAGCTAATGAAGCAGCTCATCTACGGCAGCATCTTCAACATCAATGAAATCATCAACATTCAAAACAACGACGGTAGAACCGCCCTCCATGTTGCAGTGATCGGAGACCTGCAATGTAACCTCGTGGAGGTTCTAATCACAGTCCCATCGATTAAACTGAACACTCAAGACATCAACGGAATGACTCCGCTTGATCTGCTCAACCGACGTCCTCATTCCGCATCATCGGAGATTCTTATCAAACTGTTGGTTTCATCCGGCGGTTTATCTTATTCGAAGGATTTGAAGGATAAAGCTGCCATTTTTTGGCCGTTGAAGATGCAGTCTGGGATCGGAAACAGCCCAGGTACGTCTTTTAGGATCTCTGATGCTGAAATATTCCTACATACTGGCATCGACGCATCAGAGGCCAGCGGGAGGCCGAGCTCAAGCTCCAGTACAGGAAAGAATGACTTCCCCCACACTTACTTCGAACCTATCGAAGAGAAAAACGAGCATGCCGATAGAAAGAAAGCTTCGAGTTCTGTGAATAGCGCCGCGCGGCGGCTCAAGGTACTACTCCGGTGGCCTCGTTGCAAGGACACGAAAACTGACGATGATTCCGTGAGCTTACTGAAGAAATGGAGTGAGCGCGAGGAAACACCTACGCCTCTACGTGAGCGGTTTTTGAAGCCGCAATCCTCTGTTATAAACAACAAGCGAACACTCGCGGTGAGGACATCAATGCCGAGCCCTGCCACGAAGAAAAAATTTGCGGCTGGGCTTATGCATGGCGTCATCCAGGCGATGCCACACCTGGCACCTTCGCAATCACGGATGCCAGTAAGCCCCTCATCCAGTTCTCTCGTCCCCTCACCTGCGTTAGAGATGCGGAAGGGTGTTTGCGAAGAAGACGAAGAAATCTGCGACACTGCCTGTTCGAATGTAACAGGGAGTTCATCACAGGGATCGAGTTTGAAGAATGCGAAGCTCATGAATCAGTACTTCTGCTTCGGAGCGCAGGGGTTTGCCGTGGATGGATCTTCAATTAATCAACGCCAAAGTCGATTTTTTGGAGGACGTGTTCCTCCGGTATCTTGATGAAGGAAGAAAGTAGATGCGTGTTTGCTGAACTTACTAGTATTGTTAGAAGTTTGCTCCATATAAAGTTGTTGTTTTTGAGAATGAGTGTGTGTTTGTGGTGAATTTTCTTTACAGTGAGAGCTGTGCTTCTGTTTTAATCAGTTGCAGTTTGTGATGAGCTTTTAGTGTTTATGTAATTGTTCAGACTTAAAAGTGTGATCTTTGATGCAAGGAATGCTGTGTCTTGGTTTGTATTTTGTATCAAATTATGAGTTATGTAAGAAATATTTTTTTGAGTATGGACTTGTGATGCAAGGAACGCCAGAGCCAATTTATCTTGGCGATTTCCTCAAATGTATTTCAAATTCTTTGAGAATTGGAGAACTTTGATCGCCATTTGAAATATGTGCAAGTTATTTTTTATTTTTTATTTTTGCTATTGTCATTTTTGCGCAATTTAGCCATCCGAAAGAATAATTGTGTCAACCATCTTTCAATGATTGACATCTAATATTTACTAATTGTTGAAGTCCTTCCTCCACCTTCTAGATCATTGAATATTCTTTCATCTTAAGAGAATGACCTCCATAGCTTGAGTTTTGATGGTCCCAATTATACAATGTGCCAATAACTACCATATGATATTCGTCAATCATTGACGTCAAACACTTGCCTTCTAGGTCTCCCATGAATGTTTAAGTCATCAAATACTCGTTACTTACTTTTGGATGTCCTTCATTATTTGTAGTCTAACATCAAACACGTGTGTTTTGAATCACCCATTTCCCCTCACTTTTTAAGAGAGTCGTCGAGTTGATCTTTTTCGTCATCTTTCTATATTCCTATAAGCTTATGGTATCTACCAATTGCATTTGAGGCTCATCTTTTGATTGTTTAACGTTCTTATTCAATAAATGATGGAGTCCATTGCCATCAGTCGCCAGACTTTCGATGTTCCTTTTTATTCGTCATTTGGTGCTCAATAATGATCAACATTGAATGTTGGCCTTTTGGGTTGCTTGGTCTCCCCTGTTGTCTCAATAACTATCAATTTGATTGATCATCATCATTGGGCTTGATATATTCATTGCAAACTATTATGTGGCACTATCAATACATTGTCAGCCTTTATGTTTTGGGACTACTAGCATCATAGCATTATATTCATTGCAAACTATTATGTGGCACTATCAATTCATTGTCAGCCTTTATGTTTTGGGACTACTAACATCATAGCATTGTTCAAATTTATTACATTGGATTAGCATGTTCTCTAGTTGCAAAAAATAATTATAATTTTTAATTCAATTTATGTTACTGGAATTATTTTAATTAGAATAGGCTCTATAATTTTCTAATATATTTATTTATTTACTTCTACGTAGTAATTCTCACCCCTATGCGATAATTTTAATTCATGTATGTGGACTTTCACATTACTCTACAATGTACACCACCACAATAACAGTGGTCATTTAACATGAATGCCTAAAGTTGCATTTCTCGGAATCATTTAAATTTTCGCACAACTTAAAAGTAAGAGTTAAGCAAGGGATTTTTCTATATGGATATGTGAATATTTTTTTTATGTTTTTATATTATTTGAGTTAATTCAAATATAAATATAATTGATATATTAAAATAAAACATGATTGTTTCAAAATATACTAGAAATATTTAAAAACTATTTAGACGCATTAAAAAAAATAAAAATAAAATTAATCCAATTTTTGGGCAGCTTAATTTTTTTGAAATAAAACAAATTTAGTTTAGCTTAGTCGGATGTGTATTTTCTTTTGTGTTACGTACCCCGGTTTATTGGTTGGCATCCACAGTATAAGACCCCTCAGGTTGGGGGTTCTAATCTCCTCTGGCACAGTTCATCTTAAGCAGGTGTTATTCGAAATTGTTAAATACATTAGGAGTGTGTGAAAGCTCCTATAATAGCATCTAGCCTCTATA